TGGCGAGAGGCGCTTTTATCCTGGGGGTAGTTGCCACCTCATCTTCGGTGGTGGATATTTTTTGTTAGTTTTTAAGTACAGAAATCGATTTAAAAAAGTAATTCTAAGTAAAAAATTTGCTAAACTTACATATTTTTCAAGTTATTCGCTATTAATAGTAAAAGTTATTCGCCAAAAAAATCGACATTTTTAATGAGGTTTTCACGAATAACTCGAAAAATATCAATTTCATCACTAAAACTGTAGAAAGTAAAATTATATCTTGAAAAAAAAAACAAAAAAAATTTTGTGTAGTTTCTCTGCAACCAATACGAACCGAGCTACGACTTGTTAATAGTAAGCTTTTGTTCGTCAAATGCTAAATTTGAAAAAAATAAAGTCAAATAGCGGGTAAACTGTGCATTTCTCGAGGAAAACTTAACAAATCATTTTTAAAGCATATATTTTTACCTTTCTTAAAAAAAGGTATTTCAGTCTCTAGCATAATAATTGAGCGAATAATGATAATCATAAAGTCAGTGAAAGCAACCCCCTAATTATCTTACCTAAAAAAAGACAGTAAAAGCAACCCCCTAATTACCTTTCTAATTAAAATTGATCTTTGCCCTTCCGCAATTCTCTTTATACATAAAAAAACCGGCCAAGTGTGTGTCGTGCCACGCGCAATGTAGGGTTCCGTACTGGCTCATCATCACCACAATATATTTTGGAAAGATTTTATATTTTAACACTTTCCCAGCGAAGCAATTACGCACGCGAATCCTGCCGCCACCGTACGCCGCCGTACGGCATATTTCAAATGGTCATAGAATGTAAAAAATAATAGATATCTCTTAGAATTTTTTTATTATGTTATAACTTCATTATATTTTGTATATAAAAAATATAACAATGTCGTTTTTATTTATTCATCTGTGAATATAGTACGTTGTTCATGAAAAAAAACTCTTACATAAGACTTACAAGCTAAACTTATCTCTAGAGATAAGTACTATGGATTTTAAAAGGACTAATCTTTTTTCGTATGAAATAATTTGAAGCATGGAATGTTACATAAAGCCACATTACAATCTGGGCAATAGAAGAGTCTCTTTACGGCGCCTTTTGCCCGTTTCTTTTTTTATTTTATCTGCGCAAACTTTGCATACTCTGCTTCGTTCTTGTATTTTTTTTCGAGGATGGTATCTTGTCTATGAAATGTCGACCAGTCAGTCTCGCAAGACCACCTCTCGCATGTGCACCTTGAGACAGCTGCGTCTCCTCATTCCAGCCTACATCTATAGCTAGATCCTCACCAGCTTGAGTTAGAAAGTGAGCAAACCCTTTTCGACTTGCAGGTGCATGCGATTTGTAATGCAGTATATAAGCGTTCACCATCGACCTAGCCACTTGATGGAAAAACATCTTTTTCCACCATTTCATAGACCGTCGGTGAAGAGAGTAGTACGACACATATTGCTCGTTCAATTCAACGCCTAGGGATGCAACGATACCATCTAGGTATCAATACTTTTACTCGATACTGTATCGGTCATAAAGTATCGATGCCTACTCGGTATCGAATGAAAAGTATCGATACTTACTTGTATCGATAAATTTTGACGAACGATATTACAATTACAAATTCAGTCACAGATTTAATTTAACGAAAACAAAATAAAGGCTCAAGCCACGAGATGAACGAATGATCGACTGAAAAAATGGAATAAATATAAATCATACGCAAGGCTGCCAACTGAGCAGTAGGAAAGATGCGTTCGCGAAACAAAAATTCCAAATAGACACCTTACCATAGAGTAAATAATCTGCCTATGAGTTTTTTTGATACATCTCTACAGTGAGTGACTGACCAAGTACCGATACAAATATTTACTTCACGATACCACTTGTTACTCAGTTCTAAAGTATCGATGGCAAAAGTACTTAGTATCGAAAGAAAAGTATCGAGTAGTTACTTGTATTTACTCGTATCGTTTCATCCCTATCAACGCCAACTTTATTGACGTTATAATCAAGTACGCAGTCGGGTTTGTTTCGCTTTATTTTGCCCCCTCTGGCCTTTACCTCAACATCTGTCCAAGTTGCTGCATGTTTTGTATTGAGAAAGCTGACATCGCACTTGTTCTACCACTTCCATGCTGTCATATTTCTTCGATGACAGAATAACATTTCATTAACCTCAAGTGGTTGGTTCCGCCACTCCTGGGGTAAACCACGCCGGTTCAACATGACAGTGCCAACAGCACGAGTGTCCTTTAGCCACAATGAATCAAGTTGTTGGATTCGTGATAAATCTATCCATATATACGGTATGCCATTTACCAACGTAAGGTTCCAGTAGATTCGTGATGATTTGTTCGACTATTTTTGAATCCCCCACGTAAGGTATCATTCTCAGAACATAACCTGTTTCAGCGTTACGAAGCATGTAAATTTTCATGCCGGTCTTGTTCGGTCTATCTTTATTGAACACTTTAAAGTGCACACGACCCCTGAAACCACAAGTTCCCTCATCAATAGTCAGGTTTTCATTCGGAAGGTAATAGGATTTGCATAGCCGACATAAGTCATCAAAGTACGGCCTTAGTTTGAAAAATCCGTCGTAGTTTTCATTGCCTCGTGGTACATAATTACTATTATCGTTGAGAATATGCAGAATAAACACAATAATAAAAGAATATGAACATCTATATATATGGCAAGAATATGTAGCTCGAAAACGATCTCTTCTCATCAGCTCAGATGGGAATGGAGTGTGCAAAATTGGCCTGGTCGACCAATAGGAGTCAAAAGTTTCCTTCTGGACTAGTGTCATATGTACGACAATACTGAAAAATTGTTTCAATTCGGTTGTTGTTACTGGTTTCCACTTCGCCAGCATAGAACCAGGCTTTAGATCTCACCTGCTAGCTATCTGCGCCTTCATCTGAGAAGCGTAACGATTGGTTTTGTGTTTTATAAGTTTCAAGAAGTCTGAAGTGAAAAATAATGTAAACAATCATACTGTGATGAATTTTCGTCAATTGGAGCAATGACTCCTGAGCGTTGAAATACTGGTTCAACAGGTTGTTATTCCCTCGCAATATACATCCAGCCATTTGCTTCATCAAATTCGCGTACAGATAATGACATCGAAGAACGACTGCGATCACGGGATGTTGTCCTCATCCGTCCGCGCCCGCGCCTCCCGCTCGAGCGTCTTCGGGCACGGGAATTTTGCCATCGAGACCTATCATGATAATCAGAAGGCTTTAGAAGTTCCTGTTCACTATCACTAGAGCGATTATTACGTTCCTCGACAGCTACCTTTCGCATGTCTGAGATCACTACTGTGAACAAAACAAGCCAAAGCCAAAAATCCGCTCTAAAATGTAGGTATCAGTATAAAAATAAAAGTGTAAAAGTAGGCATCAGAATAATAATAAAAAAGTAGGTACTTACCAAAAATTTCATCATCGACTTGACTTTCATTATCATCAATGTCGGAATCTTCATCACATTGTAAAACATCTAATATTTCACGCGATGCTCAAATTCGTGGCATTTCGCACCAAAAATCGACGTGCTCTCTCAAGTATCTGCGTAGCATTTCGCGCGCTCTCAAACGATCGGCTCTCGTAGCTGAATGAACTTACTTACACAGTGGAATTTAGTTCCAATGTGTGAGTAATATCAACAAGAATCTTATTTCTTTCGCGGATCTCAGACAGGATACGAGATTAAAGAACAGCACAAATAAGAAAATGCATCACGTATCCTATTTGAGACGCGCGAGTGAGATTAAAACCGCCCGCACATATCAAAGTAGGGGGGAAACCTTAATATTCATACTTTATTTCAGTTTGGAATTATAAAATCTTCTATATATATAACTCAAAGGTGACTGACTGACTGACTGACAAAGTGATCTATCAACGCACAGCCCAAACCACTAGACGGATCGGGTTGAAATTTGGCATGCAGGTAGATGTTATGACGTAGGCATCCGCTAAGAAAGGATTTTGATCAATTCTACCCCCAAGGGGATAAAATAGGGAATGAAAGTTTGTATGAAACTTTGTCAATTTTAAACCGATCGGGCTGAGAAATTGCATGCAGGTATAAGAAGAATCATAGATGAATGTCATTGTATATAATACAAGCCTGAGAACAAAAACTGTAGTCTACACTTCAGCTCTACACCGAAGCGAAGCGAGGGCGGACCGCTAGTATTATATAAAAAATAATGGCGTTAATATGCTATATGCACTCAGGACGTATTTTAATTAGAATTTCTGTTAAACATAATGTAGTGCGCATTAAATATCTGTAACAAATTACATACAATATTATTATATTAAAACTAATAACGGAACCCTTGAAAACGCAGTTTGATATAAATTATTTTGACACTGTATTAAATTTTGGCGTTATTTTATTTTGCATGCCTATCACTACCACTATTATACCTACTATTGACTTAACAGTTGAAATTAATATTCTTAGTATAATTTACTACAATTATATTAATGTTGTTTGAATTCGAGCGGAACTCTGCTGAAGTCCTCAGTATAGCTTCTAATTAAAACTCTCTTGCCGATAAAGTAATTCCGCTTTTATTGGACTTTATGCAATTGGACTATTTACAGCTGCTTTGCAGAATTCAAACGCAGCCATGTCATAGTGGTTCGTCTATCTACCACTTTAAACAGCTAAAACAACAGTGGTGTATGTACGCTCTAAGGTAGGAAAAAGATGGGTATTTGACCTACAATGAGATTTGCCTGAGGCCTACGCGTTAAAAACTGTGTTCCCCGTTTACCTCAAAATTGAACGAGGCTGAAAAAACGAATTGTGTCACTTGGTGTAATGCTTATCTGATTGTTATCAGATTCAATTTGTATTCAATTCTACACGAACACAACGATTTTTAAATAACTAGACACTTAATATGTCTGTACTAATAGCCTGTTCATTGCGTCACAGGATTCTCTCAATCGTAATATGACGATTACTGGCGGTATAACCCAAAACTAATCAGTTCTACACAGGGAAAAAGCGAAGGCTTCAGTTATTCATATAAAAGACACATTTCAAGTTGTTTGGGATACATTACTTCCCAAGTTGTGGTGTGCGATAGTCTTCTGCAAAAATCCTTCTTTAAAAACCAACCAAAATGAGATTGACCGCTCTGTTCGCTGTAGTGCTGGCGATGCTCGCGCTGTTCGCCGGAAGCAGCCACGCTGAGCCCAAGATACCAGTCAAGAAGATCGGCAAAGCTATTGTAAGTGAACTATTTATTAAGATTTTACTTGTGCTATTCAAATGGTAATTTCTCTTCTGAGAATGAAGTTTCAATTAGGTTCTATCTCGGGCACGACTTCTGGTATGGAAGTCTTTAACTTATTAAAGTTTGTGTAACCCATCCGATAACAGAAGATATCAAAAGTTGTTTGGCCTCTTAAAATCTGATGAAAGATTCTGTGACATTGATGACCCCCAAAACTTATTTATTTTATACAGTTATAATAATATTCTCGACTTTTTTTTGTAATATTCTTAAGTTTGGCTTTGCTCGTGTGACCTTATTAAGATAGCGGTTGTTATGGCTGTCTCTCATTTCTGAGGACTGCGTGATAATGATCATAACTGATTCCGAGTGTTTATAGACATATAGACTTACACCATACACATCTTGCAACGATTCAATTTCTTTCTTTATCTACCCTTTATCAAAGATTCTGAAATAGTTACATCATTACCAACATTAAAACATATGCAAATAACCATAATACCATCCAAACGGATGATATAATATTTTAAGTAGGTACTAAATTTCATAATAACAATCCTTCGCTTTTTCGATCCTTTTCGCGCAAAGGGTTTACTCATCAGACATCCACATTCATACTGTTCGATGGTACAGTACAACAGGTACATCTGTATGAATTACAATAATTGTCGTTCATGCACATTTCACTACCACAGCGCCGAAACTCTCCTTGTTTTTAGTTCTAAGGACGCCCCATGGATGATGAGAGTCTTTTCATATCATAGGTGTAGATAAATTCTTGTATGCAACTCTTTTTATTAAGGTATTAAAATACTATTATCCCACACCATTCCTCACATTCGTGTTTTGATACCCCTCATTTTACAAATTGTATCATAAGTTAATATAAAAGTTATATAAGTTCTGTACTTCTTTTCAGAAAACTGGACTTGGTGTACTCGGCGCAGCAGGCACAGCGCATGAAGTTTATGAGAATGTGAAAGACAGGGGCTGAATATTCCTAGTAATAATTAACCAAAAACTGTGTAACATCAATTTATTAAACTGTTAATAAAATATATGTTCGTATTTCTTGACAAATCCTATTAATCTTAAAGGGAAACTTCAACAAAGCAAACAATACGTTACAAAACAACAATACGTAGCAAATTTTGAATACTTAACATTTGAATTCTTAAGAAGTATTCGCAGATGACGGACTTTGGTCCGCGGAGGACTTCCGTCCGCGTATTATAAAAATTGACCGACGAGGACTTGTCACGGACTCAACGCACACGGTGTGCGGACATTTGTTGCTCGGAAATTTAGTGAAGCGCACGCTATGGAAGCAATAATCTGAAATTAAGTTGTATTGTAATTTGTAACTAACATGAAGTTTAAGAAAAAGAGAAGTCGTTCTAACAAAGAAGACTGGGTCCAGCCCCTTATATCGGATTGATTATATATTTGTATTGTTGAGGTTTTTTTTTATTATAGTGACACTATAATACTGAATAAAACGAATTTTCACGACATTTCTGAAAGATCATTAAATATAATTTAAGCATAAAGCGAAGCAATACATACGAACAACATACTTGAAGTTCATTTAATCACTGAAATCACTTAAATAGTAGGCTCAAAAGACATGATACTAAGCCACAATAAAAAAATGCGACACCTTAATTGTAAATTTTCTAATTCCAGACTGAGACAACCCTCCTCAATTATTTGATAAATCCGTTAAGATTATTTTATCTGCATTTCTGATGATGAAACCTATAAACGCTAAAGAATTCCTTTAACAAATATTTAGCAATAGTCCTTTCCTCCTTTTATAATTAAAAAAAAATCGTAGCATAATCCTCGATATACAGCTAAGCTTCAAAAGCTTCGCTATTCTCCGTCGTATTTTATTTTATTATGAAATACATAGAATTTAATTATTAGGGGTTAGGGATAATTTATGCTAGACTGTGGCGGGCGAGATGTAGCTTAAATGTGGCGCGTATTTAAAAATTCACTACCATCATATACATACATACTTATGTGATATAAGGGTATGGAACTGACAATATGGGTATGGGTCGAGCCCCGTTCTAAAATTAAAATATTCGTATGAATTTCAATTTGTAATGGGTCACTACCATAACCCCTCTTCGTAAAAGCATTAGCATCACCGTCCTATGAGTGAAAAATATTATCTTTGTATGATTTTAAATTGGTTCAATTATTCTATATGTGTATAACACTGACCTCCTCATAAACAGCTGAGCAAATATTTTTATTTGTTCGTCTAGCAAGAGACTATTTTATTGCGTTATTAGTACAAAGATACAAACTTTCTCATTTATACACACATCAAAAGTGTCTAGGGATCAACATATATTTTTGCAATAACTTTCCTCCTGATTGATATTAATTAAAATTTTCTTTAAGGATTCATCAAATAAAGTGTTTTCGTTTGTCACAGTAACGATAAACCAAGTCACCTTTGCATTAATAAAGAAATTTGCCATTTTCCTAATAAAGGGATTTTTGACATTTGAACCACTAACACAAAAGTTCGAAAAAAAGACTGAAATAACAGTTTTCTCTAAAATTTTATTGGGTAACTTAAACAATTAATAATCCGTATTTCTACCGCGAACACTAACAACACAAGAACATCGGTTTGGCATACTCAAAATGAGTTCATCCAAATCACGCTGTGGAATGGCCGCCCATGTTCGTTGCAACAACAAAAAAAGGTCTTGTTGCGACTGGATACCCTCCATATTCGGCAGAGCTCTTCTCTGTAGCATATCCCATGCATGCTCAATCGGGTTCAAGTCTGGCGACTGAGCAGGCCAGGGCAGGACATTGATGTTAGCTGCGGCGAGAGTCTGTCTTACAACTCTTGCGGTGTGCGGTCGTGCATTACCATGCATTAACTGAAATAAGGGACCGATTTGCACTTGTAGAGGAACGATGACGTCTGATACAATCGTCTCAGCATAAATTTGAGCGTTGAGGTTGCCTCTGATCCAAATCAACTCAGTTCTTCCGCCGATCCAAATACCCGCCCATACCATGATGGTTCCACCACTATAAGGATGGACTTCCTGGCAGGATTTTAATCGCTGTTGGCGTCCAGGGGTTCTCCAGTGTCGTATACGTCTTGTATCCGGTCTCATACCAAAACGAGACTCATCAGAAAAGCACACGAAACGCCATTGTTCTTCTGCCCAATTTCTGTGTTCAAGAGCCCATTGATATCGAATCCTACGATTGTGCATTGCTATAGGTGGTACCCGTAGCGGTCTTCGGGAATGAAGGTTCACTTCATGCAAGCGGTTTCTGACTGTTTGGTCGCTAATTAAGTTCCCTGAAGAGTGATGAAGCCTCACGGCTAACATCATGGCGGTTATTGTTGGAGCTCTTCGAGTTAAGATTTGAATGTATCGGTCTTGTCTCCGTGTGGTGCAGCGATACCGTCCTCCATGGCGCTCAGCCACGGTACCAGTGCTTCGGTATCGTGTCCAAAGTCGACTGATAACACTCTGACTTGTATTCAGAGCTAAAGCCACAGTACGTTGCCGGGAACCAGCTTCTATCATTCCCACGGCTCTGAGCATTTCTTCCCTGCTTAAATGACGTCGCCGCTCCATAATAACGTTGGTTTTAATCAGTAGTAGGGAAACAGTAGCACTAATAATGTCTTCAATGCGTTGTATGTTTTTATAGGGAAAATATTGACAGCTGATTTTCATCTTTTACTCGAATTTGATTCACAGTTCCTGATTCAAATTATGAAATGCACCAAAAAGGATCCATATAAATTTATAAAATCATAAATTTATTACAAAGCCACATCTCAATCTCAAGAAATCCGCATAAAAATGCTTGATCCCTAGACACTTTTGATGTGTGTAATATAAGTAGGATAACAATGGAGTTGAAACGATCATCGGGTAAGTAGCATACCATCTTTTTTATCTAAAACCGGTACCAAACAAACATATGACCCGCCTAATGGAAAACGGCCACCAATAAATGCGATACCAGAGCATCTTTTGCGCATTGCCTAACCTGACTCCATCCCCTACCCTGTGGATTCCCGGAACATTTTTTTCCGATAAAAGCAAATCGCCGTCAAACTTCAAAGGCCCACGTTATATGCCCATGCCCTATCCCTCTTCCGCCGTACTCTTAAAATTTTCCACCTTGTAGAAGACGCCAGTGAAATAACATCGCCGTTTCAATTTTTTTTTAATAAAATTAAACTGCGAGAATTTTATTATTATTAAAAAAGATTCATCTCTGAAAAGTGAAACGTAAAAGTCAGACTTGAATGAGCTTTTTCTTTTACGACTTCAATTCGTAATCTCTATTTAGGATCTAGACTAAACAAAAAATATAATATTTATAATGTACATAAACAATGTAGATATGTATCTAATAGGGTTGGCGCAATTAGCAAGATTGTTCGTCCAAGAGTGGCGCAAAATTGATCACTATAATGGAAGATATCATAATTATTGCAAATGGATGGATACGTCAATCTTATTTAACATTTGCGAACAAGACTGCTGCAGCATACAAAACAGACAAGCAATGGAGCGCTATTACTCCGTCAGAGCGTGAACATGTAGTTTCAACAAGACGATGTAACCGCGCACACAGCAGCACGATTTCTTTTTGGCGAATTGGCATTGTAGTACAGTCAATCTGTAGGTTGAGTCGTGAAAAAAAAACCTAAAGGGTAAGTCTTGTTTTTTCTGTTGCCAAATAACGTCAGTAAGCCACCTTGGCGATGGGCATGTTCAACTCGTAGGCGTTTTTTGAAAGACTCAAAAAACCATCAAAAAATTTTTTAAACGCATTTTTCTTGTTTTGTATGCATTTTAGAAACTTTTTTTTCAACCATAATTGTAGAGGGCGTTGAGTACTACAATTTATGTCATTGTTGCAATCTCGTACAACAAAAAATGCGCATTGGAGGTGGCGTTAAAGTCTCAAAAAAAGGGTTTTTTCACTTTTTCACCCTGAAAATATCATTTTAATGGAAAACTTTAAATGGAAAAGTTATTCCGTACATAATTATCAACAACTTTTAATTAAACAATTTTTTTATATTACTTACCGTTTTCAAGTTATAAATTGCGCAGGTATGAAAAATCCAATAGAGCGGTTTTGGGCATTTCAAGTACACATTTGCAGTGTACATTTCAATGTACGTTTTACTATTTTTTATTTTTTTTCATGATTGAAAAACAAAAAAAGAATGAAAAAAAAAATAAAAAAAAATAGTTTTATTTTTATTTTTTTTTCATGATTGAAATAAAAAATAGTGAAAACGTACATTGAAATGTGCACTGCAAATATGTAATTGAACTGCCCAAAACCGCTCTATTGGACTGTTCATATCTGCGCAATTTATAACTTGAAAACGGTAAGTAATACAAAAAAATTGTTTATACAAAAGTTGTTGATAATTATGTACGAAACAACTTTGCCCTTTAAAGTTTCCATTAAAATGATATTTTCAGGGTGAAAAAGTGAAAAAACCCTTTTTTTGAGCCTTTAACGCCACCTACAATGCGCATTTTTTGTTGTACGAGATTGCAACAATGACATAAATTGTAGTACTCAACGCCCTCTACAATTATGGTCGAAAAAAAAGTTTCTAAAATGCATACAAAACAAGAAAAATGCGTTTCAAAAAATTTTTAACGTTTTTTTGAGTTTTTCAAAAAACGCCTACGAGTTGAACATGCCCATCGCCAAGGTGGCTTACTGACGTCATTTGGCAACAGAAAAAACAAGACTTACCCTTTAGGTTTTTTTTTCACTGAAACGATATTTTTTTCGACAGATTGACTGTACTATTGCCAGCAAGAACGCGCGGTATAACCGCTTCAGACCTTTTTTTCGGGCTAATTATAATCTCGTATTGATGCCAACAAACCTTAGACTATTGGAGCTCTTTTGATTGTAGTCATTGTGATTGATTGTGAGCTGTCGATGTTATCTCTGGAGTCATGGCAAGTGCTATAAAATATCAACACTGACGGCAAACACGTGAAGGATATTTTTTTCCATCTAACAGAAATAAAGATTCTCATAAATATTTTCATCAAAAGGTATATAAAAATAAAATTTGAATGATTACTTTTGCGCCAGTATTTATGTTTACATACCTTAAATCTTTAAATGCAAAAAGCGTAGAACACCACTTTCCGCGACGTAACTAGAATACTTATACTTATGGTCTAAGATCCGAACCTACATCGACCTTCAGCAAGCTGATAATAGAATGGAACATATTTTATCATGCATTTAGTATATTAGATAATATATTAAAAATGGGTTGCCTTAAAAAAAATCTGGACTATGTTTAATTAATTAAAAAAAGAATGTAATAATTTTCTTTTTATCTTGATGTTGCAATCAAGATAAAAAGAAAATGATGTCCTATAAACAGTATAAAATGTGCGGCCGTTGGGTTGTCTTTTATTTACCTGGGCGAACTACTGGGTTTCCAGGTATGAACAGGTATGTCAATGACAATTACGTTACCCAACAGCTGTACATTCTATACGTTTTATACCTGAAGTCAGGACAACATTTTCTTATTATCTTGTTGTTGTAAAAATAGTCTGTCAGGATTTTTTTAGGCAACCCATTTTTAATATATTTTGTAATGTATTATAGTCATGATAAAAAAATGTTTCATTCTATTATCAGCTCGGTGAAGGTCGATGTAGGTTCGGACCTTCTACTATTACTGGTGTAAGAATAATAGTACTACACATAATCGCACACTTATCATGATATTTGACGTTTTGAACCTATACGCCCGAACGTCGAGTATTAAGTAAAAAAGGATAATATTGAGGAGCTTTGTGTTTCATTTAAGTGTTTTATCAAACAAACGGATGTGTTTTAGCCTAACCATCGCAAATGTGTGTTTACTTTTCAGAGTCAATTGCTTTGTTGTATTGTGTGAGGGGTCGTTATGTTACGTTCCCTCAAATATGGTTGAGTGTATTGTAACAAATGGAGATAGCTCTGCTTTTTAATAATTGATTCTTCACTTTATTTTTCAATCGCGTTGCTGAAATTATATATGTAGAATGATTCGTATTCGTACTCAGGCAGACTTTTAATATTGCACATCATTGCTTAAAACTCTATTTTCTTTTTAAGCATTCTCTAACCTTCATTTATTTTGTAATGATATGACAATCAATCGGTCTAGGTCTAGTAGATGGATCTACTACTATCAAGGTTTAATTGAATGTTTTAATGTTAAATTGAATGTTGTAATTTAACTTCGTGTGATTGTTGGGTTACGTATATAGAGTATCTCTGAATTTTTTCGGATTTTTTTGAAGTTTTTTTTTTCATGTATTTATTTATAATACATATGTGTATTTTTATGTTCTTTCTCCTTTTGAGTAGTTAGGATTTTCTTCTGTATCTTGGGTGTAATAACAAAAAATCTAACATGCACATTGCACACGCCCAGACCAGGACAAAATTTCTGTAGGCCATACAAAATATCTGTGCCGTACGGGAATCAAACCCGCGACCCGTTGGGCAGTAGGCGACGACCTCTGCACTAGCCGTGACGTCAAACAAATATAGAAAACTATTGAAAAACTAATATTTTAATTTTTAACTAAGAATATGAAGAAATAATAAAATAGAAACTTCAAAGGCTTTATTTAATATCTACTATATCCTCCCTCTGCAGCTATGACGGCACGTAGCAGTCTATCTTGCATAGATTCAACAAGACGCGCGCATAGATCGGTCCCTCTAATATCATCCCATACTCGAGCACAGTGTGATCTAAGATTATGGTGGTTCCTTTCATTTTGACAGTCCCAGCGTTGAACCATAAGCCCCCATAAATTTTCGATATGGTTTAAATCAGCAGACCGAGCGAGCCATTGAATGGAACGAATGGCACAGTGCAGGTTGAACCACGCCATAGTAGCACGGGCCGTGTGTATCCGTGCATTATCTTGAACATAAGTAATGTCCGAGCACACACAGCATATAAAGCAGCAAAATAACTAGTTGGTGTGAAACCATTCTCATCGTAACGAGGAATCATTTCTGTTATTTGCGCGGCGGTTAGGTCGTCGTCCTGAATTATTTCTATGATCTGTTAAGTGCCCTTCTTTGCCGTGGCGCCGGATCCAAACCTCACAGTGAATCGCGATATATTCAGTTCTCGTGATATAGCAGTAATACTTGTCCATCTTCGAAGAGAAATATTATTTCAGCCCTTTGCTCCAGGGTCAAACTTGCAATTTTATTTCGTTATGAAAATATTATTCGCACGGACCTGATTATTCGTAAGATTTTGCTCTTGTCCAATCAATGTTCAAACAATAATTTTTTTATAAATGTCATTTCAACAAATAAAGAAATGAGTTTCAGTATCAAAAAGTAATATACAATTTTTTTGTTATTCTCGATGCGTCATATTGCGTAATAACTTTTGAAAGGTAATAAGGTACCTGATATAGCATTTTAGACTTTAGTGAAAAGAGTGTGACATAGAATCTAATTTCAAAACTGGTGAACATTTTCTGACCACCGTACTATGTTTATTACGAAAAGTACTTTACACATAACTTAAGGCTGGAATTAATGTGATGCTATTAATTAAAAGTTATTTTCTTCCACTTTAGTAAGTTACCACCTATTTACTTAGAAATTTTATATTATATTTATGACTATGAACTTGGGATTTCTGTGGGTAATAATACCAATCGGTTAGTTACGTTGCTATATTATACTATTACAATGAATATGATCCCGCGAAACGGTAACGGAATAACCCGAAACTAGTCATAGGCCTGCACAGGACAATTTCATGGTTGCAATTATCCATATAAAAGAGCTTTATAAGTTTTTTGCGGCACACTCTTCCCCAAGCTGTGGTTTGCGACTATCCTGCTAAAATCCTTTTTTAACATAACCAATCAAGATGAGATTCACCGCTCTGTTCGCTGTAGTGCTGGCGATGCTCGCGCTGTTCGCCGGAAGCAGCCACGCTGAGCCCAAGATACCAGTCAAGAAGATCGGCAAAGCTATCGTAAGTGTAAATAATACTCAAAAAAATGTCCGAACTATATTAATATAGAGAAATCAAACACTTTCTTGGCTGGTTTATATTTACTATGGTATTTAATTTCATTTTCATCTTTTCAGAAAACTGGACTTGGTGTACTCGGCGCAGCAGGCACGGCGCATGAAGTTTATGAGAATGTGAAGAACAGGGGATGAAAACTGCATAAAACCATTAAGCTGTAATAAATATTAGTTATTAAAATCTCTTTTTCAGTCTTTCCGTAGTGTTAAGCCGAAATTATTTAAAAAATCATATAAAAGTACATACTTAAATTTTGATTAGTTAAATAAAACTAGTTTTTCATGGGTTAATGCACGAAACTTTATTTATTTATTGACGTTTCGCAGCCTTTACAGGCTGCTTCGTCGGAATCAATTTTTTATTTAATTTTGTTGAGCTACCTTCGAAAGACTTTTATTGAGCGTTCGGTTATTTCAATGTTCGATTTTTAAGGTTTTATTGTCCTTGTATGAATTTATTACTTAATTTGGTTAATAAAGTACTTTATTTAAAATTCTTTTTTGTAATTTTGAGTTTATCTATTTGACCCTAACTACCGTAAACTACCACCGGTTCCAAAATTGGGAGACCTTTCTGAGAAGAACCGGCGAAACAAACTCAAGAGAGGCTTTCTATCTCCTTTTTATGTTAAATTATGCAAACAAAAAGAACTAATAGTATATTTTGGTCTTGCAGTGTGTGCTCGGGGTTGAGATTTTACCTCCTGTATAATGGGTTCCCAAGCTGGTGGTATATACCAACCATCTTCCCTATTGAAATTTGGATATTTTTTTAATCTCAATAGCCTCGCGTATCATTCTAGGAATGAATCGTTGCTCAGCTGCAAGGATTTGTGGTTTATCAAATCTAATGTAATGATTTGGTCCCCCTAATGCATGTTCACACACTGAAACCCGTGAAAAACTAGTTTTATTTAATGAGTGATGTGCGTGAAAACCTAAGAAACAAATATTTTAAATAGTTGCATAGAATAATGTCTTTGGTTCTACAGCTACAGAATGAAGCAATGTACACATATTATAAGAGTGTAACTTTATATGACACAATAATATTAAGTAGGCTGTTAAGGTGAAGTCAGTGATTTATGATAGATGGACCATTGGGGCCACTAGACCAGGGTAGTTATGTAAGGTATATAACTTCCTTGTACTAGACTCAATCAACACAAACGAAAAAGTAAAAGGAAAAAGCAAGCGTGAGACGCGAAACTATTTTTTTCGAATTGATGTGTTAATATACAATTCGCTACGAAACAACTGACGGCTGTACTACGGTTGACGGGTGTAAACGAGAAAATATTACACTTTTTAGGGTTCCGTACCTCAAAAGGAAAAAACGGAACCCTTAAAGGATCACTTTGTTGTCCGTCCGTCAAGACCGTTTTTCTCAGGAACGCGTTGAGGTATCAAACTGAAATTCATATTTAAAACTCAGGTCTACTGTCCCTTGGAGCTGTGAAAAAATCAAAAAATACAGCCGTTTATGCCGCTAATTTCCGCAAATTTTCGAAACTCGCACGGAAATCAAAACCTACAGGGTACTTCCCGTGAACTCAGAATCTTGTAATTTGGTACGTCTTATAGTACAGATAAAGGAAAAATTGCGAAAACTGTAAAATTTTAGTTAAATCATATAATAAAAAATATTTTTTAATAATTATTAAAATATACATATATATATATATATATATATATATATAATTATCAAAATATATTTAATTTTAATAATCATCAGGTTGATAGTTCGTTCAATCGAGAAAATGCAATTCGAGGTGGCACTTTAATATTATTGAATAAAAAACTAAAATTTAAGGAACGAAGAGATATTGTGAGCCTCTCGGTTGAGCGAACAATAGAAATTGCCTGTGTGGAACTGGACCAGCTTGTTGTATTGAGCGTATACAGACCTCCATCAGCATTGTATGATTGTTTTGAAGTTATCATGGATGAAGCTCTTAAAAAAACATACACTACAGGCAAACGGTTGATTGTCTGTGGTGACTTTAATATTGATTTATTACAAAAATCTAGTTCATGTACTAAAATAAAAAATTTATTTCAATCATACAATCTGAAAAACTTATTCATTGAGCCTACTAGAATAGCTGCCACTTCGACCACTTGTATTGATAATATATATACAGATATTATACCACAGAAAAAACAAATTATTAATAAACTAGATAGTGATCATTGTGGCCAGTTGATTACATTTCCGTATCAGCTCAAGCAGGTGACGAAAAAACACATCACTGTTATACCAAAAACTGCTAATCGTGTGGAACGTTTTAAAAATCAATTAGATAGAAAATTGTGTTATCTTAAATATAAAGACAGTCCAAATGATTTATATAATGATTTTTTAAATATATATTGCGATGAATTTAATAATGTTTTTGTACCCAAAAAAATATGTGTTAATGATGCGGTAAATTTTAGTAAGTGGGCTACGCCTGGAATTCATAAAAGTAGAAGAACTCTTTATGAACTTTATAATGAACGAAACTCTAACACTAGTGAAAAATTTAAAGAGCATGTTCGTAACTATTCCAAATTGTTTAAAAAAGTATGCCGCTTAGCAAAATCAAATTACTTAAGTTCAAAGATTAAGAACAGTAATGACAAAATCAAAATGACATGGAATATTATAAACAATGAAACTGGAAAATCCAAAACTCGCAAAAATAATTATAACCTAAATATTGATAATAAAAAGGTTACATCAGATATTGAAGTTGCTAAAGTATTTGAAACTTTCTTTACTGATATTCCAGTTTCAATTACGAAATCTTTGAACTCTTCCCCCATTGCTGCCGAATCAATCTTAAGAGAAAACGTGAAACCTTGTACTAGTTATTTTCATTTTAAACATGTTGACTTCAAAGATGTAATAAAAACGTTTCACCAATTAAATAAAAAGAAAACCGCGGATCTGTGGGGCAATTCCGTTGATGTTTCTAAATCGGTAATTGAGACAATAGCTCCTATTCTAGCTTGCATATTTAATGATTGTGTTGACTGTGGTGTTTTTCCTGACCTCATGAAATGCAGTAAAATTACTCCTTTGCATAAAACGGCAAGTACATCAGACCCCACAAACTTTAGACCAATTTCTGTACTACCCACCTTTAGTAAAAATTTTGAAAAAATCATGTTCGATCAAATGCAATCACATTTTAATAAATATAATATACTTCACTGTAAACAGTTTGGTTTTACACGGGGTCGTTCAACAACCGATGCCGGTGTTGAACTTATACAACAAATTTTTGACGCCTGGGAGAACTCGCAGGACGCTCTAGGTGTGTTTTGCGACTTGTCCAAGGCTTTTGATTGCGTTTTTCATGAAACATTACTCAGGAAACTCCTCCACTATGGATTTAGAGATATTGATCTGGATCTTATTGCATCATACCTGAGGGATAGGATTCAGAGGGTTGACATTAATGGTAATAAGTCTCCGGGTTCGCCGGTTAAGATGGGTGTTCCGCAGGGCTCAATCCTAGGTCCTTTCTTATTTTTAATTTATATTAATGACTTACCTTACTATGTAAGAGATAACCATGAGATAGTATTGTTTGCGGATGATACATCACTTTTATTTAAACTCAAACGCAAGGAAAAAGTTATTGACGACGTGAACAATTGTATCTCTAAGGTAGTCCACTGGTTCAATGTTAACAATTTATTACTTAATGAAGGAAAATCGAAATGTATGAAATTTGTATTACCTAATGTAAAACAGGTAAAAACCAGTGTGAATGTAAAGGATAGGAATGTGGGCCTTGTAGACACCACAGTATTCTTAGGGATAACTTTAGATTCTAAGCTTCAATGGGGCCCACATATTGATAAATTGTCAAATAGACTTAGCTCTGCAGCATATGCTGTAATGAAGATACGCCAGTTAACGGATGTAGATACGGCCAAATTAATGTACTTTAGTTATTTCCATAGTGTTATGTCGTACGGAATTTTATTGTGGGGAAATGCCGCCGACATTCAAACTATTTTCGTGCTGCAGAAGAGAGCTTTTCGATCAATTTATAATCTTAAAGTTAAAGAATCATTAAGAGATAAGTTTAAAGAATTTGGAATAATGACGGTCGCATCACAATACATATACGAAAATTTATTACTTGTAAGAAAAAATATTAATTTGTTTCTTAAAAACAGTGATGTTCACACAATTAATACAAGAAACAAAAATAAACTAACTTTACCTGCTACTAGGCTTCACAAAATTAATAATTCATTTAAAGGTCTTTGTGTTCGCTTATACAATAAAGTCCCAAGCAATATCCAAGAGTTAGCCATAAATAAATTTAAAGATACTATAAAAAAAAACACTTTTTAAAAATTCTTATTACAAAGTGTCTGATTATATTACAGACAAAAATGCTTGGGTTTAAACTGTTCCAATCATTCCAACAGGTTTTCTATATTAAATAAATCATAATTGTATTGACGTTGTAACAACATAATGATTTGTAAATGTTGTTATATTAGACTTTTAATGTTGTGGAGTTTTTTTCGCTCGTTTTTCTCCGCAGCTAAAAAATATGTCAATAACGAGTGGTAGGGAAAAAAAATTTTTGGACGATTCAAAAGAGTTGTATTATACATCCAATTTGAATAAAGATATATTGATTTCTGATTTCTGATTTCTACCAACAGGTTTGTATGGAACCCTCGGAGTGTGAGTTCGACTCGTACTTGGCCGGTTTTTTTTTCGCCTATCCCCCATCCGCCAAATCTATACCGTCCGAAAGTGAACTTCGTTCCAAATGCTTATATACTAAAAAGATATGGAGCATCAGTTTATAGCTGGCAAGGGACTGAACCGGATTTTAGTTCACTCGTTTATGATCTATAATTTATTTTAAAGGGTGAGGCATGCTATAAAATGTTCGTGTTAAGTCAGAAAATAAAAATGTTTGCAGTACATATCAATATGCCGGACATCAGTCTCATATGTCTCATAGGTACTTACGATTTCAAAGTTACAGATCTTCATTTAATAACAGATTTACACACGCCAACACCAACAACACCAAATATTTCATTATGAATTTTCAATATTTATAAATCTGTGGGCTTCTATTCTATTTATTTAATATAACTTCTACTACTAAATGTAAAATATATTTATTTACATAAACTTAAAACTAATTTTATTTAAACTTAATTAAAAGATTACAGAAATCCTGTATCGCCACAAAAAATCTCAGAATTCGTCTAATTATTGGCATTAGTTAAAAG